ATTCCGACAGATGAGAACAAATTTGAGATGCCATCATCTGAAGTGTACATGGAGGAAGCAGCTGTTGAGTCATGCACTGAATGTGTTTCTAGCTCGCAAGAGCACATTGAAGTTTCAACTGTACATGGAAATGAAGGTGAGGAACAGGCAGGCAATGACAAAATTGAGCATGTAGATAACATGGACTGCAAACATGCATGTTTAAATACAGGTGAAAGATGTTGCATTGCTCAGCAGACTGGAGGTTATTTTTCACGCAGCAAGAAAAGTAATGCTGAGATTAGTTGTAGTAGTGGAAAGAATAAGAATGAGGAAAATCAAGACAATGTACAGAGGACAAGAGGTCAGTCTGCAAGGAAAAGTAGAGATGTTAATTGCAAAAGTAGAAGGAAAGAGCGAGTGTTCATACAGAATGAAAAGAACAGTGTTGAGAAAATTAAGTCCAAAAGAAAAGCTGGAGACAACATGGAAGATTTAGCACAAGATTGTGACAAGAAAAAACTCAGAGCCAAAATACATGTATGTACATGTAGTAGTAAACACAGTTGCTCTTTTAAAGACAATCAAAGATTAATGAGACTAAAGAAATCAGATGTATTCAAGGTAGCTTCCACCAAGGTGATCTCAGATTTGCGGAACTGGCTGGAAGACAATGTGTTTGTATGAGCCTGTGTGGAATCCTCTATAGCCGAATTAAGCCGTTAAATATGTGGAGTTGCAAAGACGTGGATTTTGTGTTGAATACTGGGAATGAATTATACAGTTGTTTGTCTCGGAGCTCTACAATGATGAATGAATATTTGTTAATCAGTGAGTTGCCTGATAAGATAGATGCATTTGGTAAATGTTTCCACATGAAGATTGCTGAATCTGTTTCTGGCACTTTTGCAGAAGAAGGACATCTGACTGAGTTCAATATGATTCCGTTGAGTAGGGCAGTAGAGCAGACAATTCAGAAATACTGTGCCTGTTTCATTTGTTTCAAAGGCAACACATTTGCAGTAATTGCTAAAGATGGAATGTATGACATTTTTGATTCACATTCTAGAAATCAGCATGGACATCAGCACAGTGAAGGCAGAAGCTTGCTCAAATGTGTGTCATCATGGCAAGGTGTGTGCAGGTGTTACTGTCTGGGTAGATGATGTCAGTATTTGTAATGATGGTGAAACTGTCAGTGGAAGCAGTGAACCATCTTGTAGTAATGTACAAAGAAAAGAACAGAGTGAACGTGATGTAGAAATTATACTATCTTATCAACCAGTCAATTTGAAATTTGTTCCATTAGCTTATGACCATAAGATTGCATTGTGTCAAAAATATGGTCTGACAACACTTTGTCTAGATGCTCATGAAATTCCCGTGAGATGTTAGCAGTTGAGTAAACCTGATTCTATAAAGACAATCCAAGGTGATGGTAACTGTTTCTACAGAGCTATTAGTTATGCTATATCAGGGACTGAAGATAATCATATGTTACTGAGATTGGCAATTGTTCATCATTTGTTGGAGAATGCAGCTTTGTTCAAGGGATATTTACGTGAAGGTTATACAACAGTGGAAGACTATGTAATGAGGGAGCGATTGTGTTATCATGGTACATGGGCTACTGAGGTCGAAATCATTGTAACAGCACACATGTTGGATGTCGGTATTTATACGTATGATGATGTTAATAAGTGGTATTTATTTTCAAATAGATATATATGTCCAGCCAGTAGTACTGATACCGGTAGTTGTATAAAGTCAGGAATTTATTTGTATCACAAGAATCATATACATTACGATTTAGTGACAAGTGTACGTGGGTTCAGAAGAAAGGTTCTAGACAATAATGAGAAGCATTATAGAACTTCATCCAAAAACACCAGTGTTGGAAACTTCAAAGAGACGTAAACGTGCAAACTTAAGGATGAGGCAAAAATCTGATAGAGACCGTCAAAGAAAAAGATATCAAAGAAAGAAAGATGAACAAAATGAAGAGCATGTACAAAAACACAAAGTAATGAGTGACTGCAGGGAAAAAAGGAGTGTGCAAAGAAAGAAAAATACCATAAATGTGTGGAATACAGACAAGGTGCTATTGAGTATGGCAAAAAAAGATACATAGAGAATGCAGCAAAGATTACTGGAGTCATGAGGCAAAAATACCATGAGAATAAAGTGTATAAACAACAAAAGATTAATACTGCAAAAAAAAAATACCACAATGATATATCATATAGAAATGGTCTCATAAAATCCATGAAAAAGAAGTACCACAGTGATGTATCATATAGAAATGGCCTTATTAAATCTATGAAAGAGAAGTACCAAAGTGATGTATCATATAGAAATGATATCATTAAATCTATGAAAAAGAAGTACCATAGTGATTTATCCTACAGAAATGCTCTTATTAAATCTATTAAAAAGAAGTACTCTTTGAACAAATTATATAGGATGAAAGTGATAAATTTTCAGAAAGCTAAATATCACAGGGATCAGCGTTATCGTGAGAATATGAAGCAAAGGAATAATCAACGAGCAAATAGAAAGAGATCAAGTCAACGTATTATGAGCAGTGTAATAAGAAATTGGAGGCAAGATGTACTATCATCAGGACCTGAATACATATGTGCAGTTTGTCATAAACTCCTTTTTCGAAAGCAGGTGGTAAAGTGTAATCAAGACAAATATAAATGTGTTGATAGCATATCTGGTAAGTTTTTGCATACATGTGAAGCCAACAGAAACTGTGGTGATACGTGTCGTGTGTCAAAATCAAGTAGATCAAGTTTGTGGATTTGCTTTACATGTCATAGAAAATTGCTTCAGAATAAGATACAAGCAGAAGCTTGCGCAAACAATTTGGCATTGGAAGAGATCCCTGAGGAATTGAGCTGTTTGAATACATTGGAGGAACATCTGATTGCAATTAATGTAGCATTTATGAAAATGATGGCTTTACCCAGAGGAGGTCAGAATGCTGTGCATGGGCCAGTTGTATGTGTACCATCAAATATTTCAGAAACAGTAACATCATTACCTAGATGTGGAAATAACAATCCGTTAATCAAAGTTAAGTTGAAGAGAAAATTGTCATTCAAAGTATATTATCAGTATCAATATGTCAGCAGAGAACATATGTTGAGCGTGCACTACATTATCTAAAGGAGCATTATGAATCGTATAGTGCAATTGAGATTAACTGTGAATGGGACAATCCTTTGAAAGATGAACATGAAAACCAAGAAGAGGATGAATCTAATAATTCAAGTGAAAGTGATGAAAGCAAGACCAGATCTTGATGAATTTAATGTGATGTGCCTTGCCACATTTTGCTCAGAATACAGGATAATATATAAATGCAAACACTAACAAGAAAAACAAATCACCAGTGTATGAACTGAAAGATGGTTTTGGTCACATACAGAAACGCAGTAAAACTGAACCTGCAGTGATAAGATACCCTAGATTTTCAGAGAGTAAATATCCTGAGAAATGTTACCAAAGTATATTGCAGTTGTTTCTTCCATATCGTGTAGATGTGCATTTGAAACCACCCCAGTTTGAAACATTTGCAGAATTTTATAAAAATGGTGCAGTAAATCTTAATAGTCAATTGAAATCTGTGAGGTACATTCTTGAAAGTAACCGCTCCATATATGAAAAAAAATTTGAGTCTCTTGAAGCGGCAGAACAGTATCTGAAAAAATTTGGTCTTCAGGAAGATGCATGGGCTTTGATTTGTCCTAAGGCTGAGCAAGAGAGACTTGAGTGTGAAGCAGAACGTGAAGAAGTATCAGAGGAAGACAATGAATTTGATATCCCTGATTTGCAAGCTGATGCAATGGTAGAAAAAATATGTAGTATTGAACCACATCCAGCAAAAATATCAAAGCAAGAAGCACTACATTTATTAAGATCATTGAACGTAGAGCAGAGACAGGTCTTTAATAAGATTTGTAATTGGTGCTTACAAAAAATAAATGGGAAAAATCCTGAACCATTTCATGTATTTATGACAGGTGGAGCTGGAACTGGGAAAAGTGCTTCATATGATAATACAAGTAAACTAACACAAACGTTGAAGCAGCAATGTCGTGGAGGTGTAGCAGTATTTGGTAGAAAGAACAGAACATTTAGCAGACTGACTCTTCCTGTTCAGAATCTAGAGCATATTGCATTTCAGATAATTAGTCAGATGTCACACTGTGTGGCAGTAATTTATCGTCCGGCTTCATATTTGATGAACGAATTTGTTGACTATCTTAAAATTTTGCTGAGTGAACTTCATAAAGTGTCCAATAGATGCATTGTAAAATGGGCGATTTTAATGAAGACATTCTGAAAGACTGTTCACAGATTGAAAAGTTAATGCAAGATTATGGTTATAGACAGTGTGTAAATGATGAAACAACAGAAAACGGCACATTGATTGACCACGTTTATGTCACAAATATGGATATGGTAGATGCTGCAGTGATTCCGACTTATTACAGTTACCATGAAGCAATTTTTATAACTATATAATTTGAGCAATTTTATTGAAGATATTGTCAAATATTATCTTGAAAGATCAAGATTCAAACATCTTCAGAACTCTGCTTGTCAACTTACTAGCAATAGTTTAGTGAATAATCATCATTTGTATCACATAACGTTTTCCCCCCCAAAAATAATGTACGTGTAATTTCAATGTCTAATGAATAACTGTAAAGTATACATGTATATTCCTTTTTTGACCAGCTAAATTTAATCTTTGCATGAAGAGTAGTGGGAGTACAAGCTTCTAAGAGGTGTCATCTTTTCACCTTTTCAGATGAATATTCTGACATCCATTGTGGTTTACTTTCACAAACTAAGACTTGCTTGCTCATTGATCATGTCCACCATCCAAACTTTAACTCTCATTTTTTAATGAAGCTAATAGATTCTTAGACATGTCGTTCTTGTATCCACTTATTTGTACATATAAGTCATCAGGCTGAAATCGACATCTCTTCACACAAAGTTATCACCAGTGTGCTTTGCATCAGCATCAGTGTGCATGCCAGTATTCAACATTGTTCAGGTGAGTGAGCTGTAAAGGGTGAGGGTGGGGTGGGTAGTATACATGTAGCTCAAGACTCTTTCTTTCAAAAGACTTGCTAGCTTGTGTATAGTTTCTTTGAGTACTGAATCTAAACTCAATGAATGGGAGATTTGCTCTAAAAAAAAAACATTTGAATGATATCTCTGTGATTTGTGTGGTTCCGAGAAGAACCAGTTTTCTCAGAACCACACAATTCAAAAGAAACATCAATCACATAGTGTTTCTGCATAAATCCAATTCATTTATCATGTCCATTATCCAAACCTTTAACTCTCATTTTTTAATGAAGCTAATAGATTCTCATACATGTCGTTCTTGTATCCACTTTTTTGTACATAGAAGTCATGAGGCTCAAATCGACATCTTTTTCAAAGTTATCACCAGTGTGCTTTGCATCAGTATCAGTGTGCATGCCAGTATTCAACATTGTTCAGGTGAGTGGGCTTGTTTGAATTGTTTTTTAAAGAGAGAGAGGGGGGGGGGTGGGGGGTGGGGGGTTAAATATGTAGATCAAGACTCTTTCTTCAAAAGACTTGCTAGCTTCTGTGTAGTTTCTTTGAGTACTGCATCTGAGCTCAATGAATGAGAGGTTTACGCTAAAATCAAACACCATGTGAACGATATCTATTGTGATTTGTGTGATTCTGAGAAGAACCAGTTTTCTCAGAACCACACAATTCAAATGAGATGTCAAACACATAGTGTTTCTGCATAAATCCCATTCATTGATCATGTCCACCATCCAAACCTTTAACTCTCATTTTTTAATGAAGCTAAGAGATTCTTATACATGTCGTTCTTGTTTCCACTCGATTGTACATAGAAGTCATCAGGCTGAAATCGACATCTTTTCTCAAAGTTATCACCAGTGTGCTTTGCATCTGTATCAGTGTGCATGCCAGTATTCAACATTGTTCTGGTGAGTGAGCTTGTTTGAATTGTTTTTTTAAGGGGGGGGGGGGTTGGTATTGGAGATTAAACATGTAGATCAAGACTTTTTCTTTAAAAGACTTGCTAGCTTCTGTGTATAGTTTCTTTGAGTACTGACTAAGCTCAATGAATGAGAGGTTTGCGCTATAATCAAACACCATGTGAATGATATCTCTTTGTGATTTGTGTGATTCTGAGAAGAACCAGTTTTCTCAGAACCACACAATTCAAATGAGATATCAATCACATGGTGTTTCTGCATAACTCGCATTCATTGATCATGTCCACCATGCAAACCTTTAACTCTTCCTGCAAATATTGTACTTGAAGTGCAAGTGGCAGCTTTTAAAGTGATTGTGTCCAGTAGGTGCTAAAAATTTGGCAAGTGATATTTGATATGCTTTTTTTTAGCAGACATGATTTTAGTATGGTACTTTTTCCAATGAACCATTTCGCATTTTATTCTATTCAGGGACGCAAATTCTGTAGCCCATGAAATGAAGCTATGCCAACCTATCTGCTTCCACACTGTCGGCAACATTCTTCCATCACACATTTCCAGCTATACGGAGTTACTTGGTGATTCTACAATCTCAGCCAGTATTAAGAACCCAAATTGACTTCTGCTGTTACAAGCTACATGTGTATCATTCTCTCACATATGAACAACCGTGAAATGTACACAAAGACTGCTTGCATGTCCAAAAGAACACTCATAACAAACCCATCACGGTGGTGCGAGGAACACTGTTATTTTGCATTCCATGCAGTGACAGACCTTGTTGGCTTCATGAGATAATTCGTGACTGCTAGTGACATAAGCCTAAATGTTTATGTAAAGTCTGGCAATTGATATGTGAATAGCAATTATCTTCAAGTTTTTCATCTTGTCATCTTGTCACTCTATAAATAACGGGTCCAAAGTGAGACATGCTTTATGTATGAATCCAAAATATTTTCTTTAACCTTTTGCAGTTTCAAATTATAGCACTGGTGGATCTTAGTACTTTAAACATAATTTTTTTGATTCTGACTTGATTGTCTACTTACATGACAAATAACATGGCTCGCCATGTAACAGGGACACCAACACATTATACGTGTGACGCAAACAAATGTTGCAACCTGACGCCACTTTGGCAGTTGTAGAGCGTCTATAGAGAGTCAAGAACATTTTCTTAGTATTTCAGTATTTTCTAACACAATTGAAAACGTTCCTCAGTCCCAGATTCATGTAATCATAACTTTACGAAGTAAATGAATTTCAAACTTTTTACTGTCGTGCAGATATTTATGACCACATAAACCAGTGATTTCACTTGTAACAAGCACACAAATTTGTCGTTGTCATTGCCCATTTTTTCATCATGGGTGAAGAAGATAAATTTGATTTGTACGATTCTTGTTTTAAATCACTAGGACAAACCATAACCACATACTTAAAGTGTACAGAGTGCAGAAAAGGGTATACACTGTACATGTATGCGGAATGTTGTCTTTACATTACATGAAGATGTAGCCAATCTCATTCATACAATACCATAAGTCTTGTCTGCAGTTTGAAATCTGTACAATACTATAGTTTTAGACTAAAGATAATTCTTTTGACAAACAAAATATTTGAGATTACTTTTTCAATTACAGATTAGTTATGTTATCAATTATTATTAACATTTTAACAACTAAAGTGTCATTTTTGTAAGAAATATTCTCAATTAATTGTTAGTTGAAATGTAATTCGTTTTCCTGAAAATGGTTACCGTTCATGTCATTCATCAAAGCTCATTTTCAATAAACATTTCTGACGAAACTTTTATACACCATTTCAAAGATGTCAAACTTTCTTCCCATTAGTGTTTCTCAGATACCGCGTTGAGAAGGGTCGGGGCACAATTAGACACATTGTCTTCATTGGGCAAATTGATAGTGCATCTCCTTTTTTTGTAATTGCGAGAGCGGCACTTGCTTTTGGTGGCCAGTTCAGCGTCCGTTTTATTCGCGTGAAAAGCACTATTATTTTTAGGAGTCAGTTTCCTTCTTCAGGAGAGCCACAATTTCAATGTTGTGAGCGGTCGACTAATTAAGCTTTCGAGGAGCAGTTGTCCATCTTGAGAAGGTCTACAGAGGGGTACTTGTCATTTTGAGGACCAATTTTGCATTTAATACAATACAAAAGGCAAACTCTGTATCGCGATCACCTGTTTGGGGGTTTATTACACTGTCAATCAATCGATGAAATTCTGTAAAGAGAATCGCCCCCAATCATGTGAATATTTATACCATACACCGTTTACGATGTTCACCAGTCACAACTCGTGATGAGATATGCACTTGGCCTGGCAGTAAAACAGTGGCACAATACAATCAAAACGGCCAAAAGTGAAATTACAGTGTGCTAGCTAGATAAAGTGCCGATATGTACACTCACTATGCATGTGCATATACATGTAGTCCTCTTGTTTTTTCATGACGACAGTTTGGGCTGTTATACGTAAGCTATGTACATGTACGTTCGTGGTATACAGGTAATTGGCTTTTCCGCAAAGTTGCGGAAAAGCCTTTGTTTCTCTACAAATTTTTTTTTTTTTTTTTTTTTTTTTCCTCTTGAGACTTCCAACCAAAATGCCATAGACTTTGTGCACGTTTTTTCTGGCATACACTTTTGGCATAAAACAAAGTCATATGACATCAAATCTTAACATAGTCACAGAACATATAGCAAAGGTCGTTCGCGAAGATAGACGCAATGATGACTTCATCATGGGTCATGTGACGTCACCTTACAGGTGCATACTTTAGGGCCCTATATCGCCAGAATGGTAAGTCCCATTTGGTTCATACTTGGCATGTAGGTAGACCGGGATGTGTTATAGGTCAAAATTGAGGTGACGTCACGATGACGTCATCGTGTGATTTTATAATAATTTTTGAAGTTTTAGACCTTCAATCCATGTCTTATCAACGGAACATGGTAAATTGAAAATTCTTTTTGCAATGGGTTTGTTAGGTCATGATGACGTCATCAAAAATGCGATTCTTTATTTCACATATAACAGTAAGTCTGATCGTCTTGAAACTTGGTGGGTAGGTAGATACTGTTACTAGTATGCAAAATCTGAAGTGACGTCATGATGACGTCATCACCTGATTTGTTATTAATTTTTAATTCTTTTACTGTTTCTTCTACTTGCAAAATTTTACATGAAATGGGATCATATTAACTTTAAACTAGGCGTATCATTACTCGGACACTCTCGATAGAAGTGACATTTAATTGAATGTACACGAACCATCGGTACCGATGGTTCGTGTACAAAGCAGAATGAGCCAATAAGACAACAGCGCCGATGGTTTGTGCACTGACAGATACAACCAATGAGAGAGCATACAATCACTGGTGGTCATCGGCCCAGTGACCTTGCCTAGCTCAGCTATCAGTGAGATTTACGTAACGTTGCGTAACAAAGTGTATGTGGGGAAACTGTGGTCAGGGCCCTGGCCCTGCACAAGGCCATGCATGTGCATGCTATCTTAATATGTTAATGTAACGTACACTTTGTACAGTTGAAACCTTATAATTCTTTGCTTCTATTTCTGGACAAAGGTTTGCTGCTTGCACTTTAATATATTAGTTGGACATGGTTGTACGGAAACTTGGAGAACGAAAATCTAAACAGGAATATGCTGAAATGTAGCGCTCACTGAGAAAGAGAACTGGAGTTCACATGTACATGTCAACCGTGCAGACAAGTTCTGGGAGAGAATATTCAACCGACGGCGAGATTACCAACACAAGCTACAGGATTTAATGTCTTCATTATCTGGGCAATTCCACCGTGATTGACATTACATGTATCAAATCAGCTCTAATGTCTAAACAATTACAGCCAACTGAACCATGTTTGGCAAAGGGGTTACTAGGACCTACATACACAATACAGTATTGAATCTTTGAAATTTCATGGTTAGCTTTTTTGACTTGGGGGGTTGTTTAGTGCTGTGATAGTCCGAAAATTTGGGACTCTCAATACTGTGTATGAGAGTCCCAAAACGGGAACTAGCGGGAACTAGTCTCAATTTACTACACATTTCTCCATAGTCAAGCCACCAGACTATTGACTTTGAATGAAATGAGGTCAGTCTTTTCGAATAGTTGGACCATGGTTGAACATGTACCAGTCTAGTATTTAGCCCCATTTTGAAATCACTTGACTTTCCTCTCATGTGCAAAATATTAAAGAAAAGTCTCCTTTAAAAATTGAATTGAGTCTGCAAACTTGGTTGGTGAAATACTGAGGACATTTTCTTTGCCCCAGTGGAATTTTTGGAGAAATTTGCTGGCTAAACTGTGAGTAAAGTGGGCCTGATTTAGTTTTGCACGTTTCAGAGCACTCCAGAGCCCTGATTGGTGCTGTGACTGACATTAAAAAAAGCGATGCAACCCAAAAATGTCAAACATGTTTTTAAAATTTCTCTTCGGGTTAAAAGTGCTGCAGATCAAAATCCATTAGAACATTAGAGCTAATAGGGTTACTAACGCATGTAGTAAGATTGGGGGAAAAATCATGATTTTTTGAATGAATATGCCTGTTAATATAAAACAAATTAACACCCAATTAAAATAGCCTCGTCTGTCAACAATAGAAGTTGATATACCTAGACCCCGTGCTAAGAAAACAATGAAGGGCAGATTTTTATTGCTATCCTGAATGCTTTTATCGAAAAAAAGCATCGTTTTTATGTGACTGACATTACACTAAGCCTAAGACCGTCACTGACATTACATTTTTACTAATTTTGAATATCAATTCAGCTCTTATGTGTAAACAATTGAAGCCAACTGAACCATTGTTTGGCATGGGAGTTACTGGGACCTGAATACACAATACGGTATTGAAAATTTAAAATTTCATGTTCAGTTTTTCCAATTAGAGTGGTAGTTTAC